ACCGCCACCGTCCGATCGAGTGACGGCGGCGGCGGCGGCGGCGGCGGCGTCGGTTCGCCCACGACACTGACGCCGGCGACGGTCAACACGGCCACGGCCGTGCTCCCGGCGACGGGCGGGTGGGCCGAGCTCGAGGCGCTGTACAACATTTCGCTCGAGACGAACCTCGCGACGCTGCGGTCGGCGGCCGAAGAGTCGGAGACGATGCAGCGCGAGCGGCAGCGCGAGCGGGAGAGGGAGCGGGAGCGGGCTCGCGACAGGGAGCGCGAGAGACAGCGGGAGCGGGAGAGGGAGCGGGAGCGCGAGAGGGAGAGAGAACGGGACCGCGACCGCGACCGCTCGTCGTTTCTGCCCTTCATCAACTCGGTGGCCATGCGCGAGATGGACGAGAGGCTGGCGCGGCGGCGCGTCGTCGTCGACCATGCGGTGCACGAGAGCCCGCCTGAGCCGGACAACACGGCGGGCATCTCGTGGAGTGAGGACGGGCGTACACTGTGAGTCCATTCTATTGACTTGGAGAGAGGAGAGAGAGTGTGTGTCATGCTGACGGCAGATTTGTCGGCGCCGAGAATGGCATCTATGAGTTTCACGTGGATACGCAGGGGCGCAAATACTGTCCCAAGCTGACGATGCGATGATTGGGTTGAGGGTGAAGGGCCTCCGGGCTGTACAACACGGTTTTTTGGGGGGTTTTTTTTTTCTTGGATGGGTATATGGCGTATGGCGGGTGACGGATCAGTAGTTTGACGAGTATCGATTATTGTACATGATTAAAGTAGTAATGCTATCACTTATCGTACATGAACAGTACCGCTATCACTTATTGCACATGAATCAGGAAGGCTACCACGGGGTGCGGTTCTGCTGTGGTTGTGGGGGACGGCTGGATGCAGATGGGAGCAGTACTGGCAGACGAGTAGTGCTATGCAGACGTATGAGTGAGAGGATAGCATGAGCAGACGGTTTTGAAGGAGAAAAGTCAACAGAGTTAAGCTGGGTGAGGACCATGAGAGACTCCAAGGAGGTCGACGAAGAGCGTGTTGATCGTCGATGGATGTACGCTCGACTCTGCCCATTTACTCACATGATATTGACCATCCTGTATTGACAAGATTGAATGTAGTTTTGGCAGACACTTCAATGCCTACCTCTAACTTCAGGCGAGAAGCGCAAGGAAGCTGACGGCTTGCACTATCCACGGCCAGTATGTGGCGGCACATAAGCCCCCGACAAAGACCGGAAACTCGACGAAAGCAAGCTTCAACAAGACATAGGCAAGCATCAGGCAATAACCGCAAAGCCCTCCCCTTCGAGCCTCGAGCGTCCAACCTCGCCGCCGCCCGCTGCCGTAGCGTCACGCCACGACGAAAACGCCGGCCCGCAATCGGACCCCAGCACGGGCGACCGGAGCGATCAGCAACGGCATGGATGATATCCTGCCGACACCCACCTCCAACGCCAACCTCACTTGTTCAACTCACCATCACCTCCGTCTCCGTCCATCAGCGAAACCCTCACCACCTGGAGGCACACATACCCACACACCTCGCACCATGTCCATGGCCGCGTCTCTGCGCCCGGCAGCGCGGCGAGCAACCCAGTGCCTGCGCCTCGACACGCGAAGACGACGCACCTTTGCCTCGACCGTCCGCAGGGACGCCGACTTTACCCACATTGTCCGCCTCGCCCCCTGCCCATTGCCCGTCCCTCGCGTCTCTGCAAGCTAACGCCCTGTGCGCCCGCCCTCCAGGTCATCGGCGCCGGCGTCGTCGGCCTCGCCACCGCCCGCCACCTGACGGCCACGCACCCGTCGAGCACGACGCTGCTCGTCGAGCGCCACGCGCACCCGGGCACCGAGACGTCGTCGCGCAACAGCGAGGTCGTCCACGCGGGGCTCTACTACGGCCGCGGCACGCTCAAGACGGCCCTCTGCACGCGCGGCCGCCGCCTGCTGTACACCTTTTGCGCCGCCCACGCCGTCGCCCACCGCCGCACCGGCAAGTGGCTCGTCGCCCAGAACGACGCCCAGCGCGCCGCCGAA